TTGATCTCGAGGAGCTTGAAGCCTCCATCACCTTTGAAGCCCCTGTTTCTCGAGGTGGTTCTGTTTAGGATCAAACTTCTTGGCTTTGCCTTGGCCTTTAGGGAGGCAACATAGAGCCAGAATGGTTTGGATAAACTCTAATGCAATCCAGAAATAGAATCACAGAATGGTTTAGGTTGGAAGGGACCCTCAAGCTCATCTTGTTCCACCCCCTGCCATGGGCAGGGACTCCTTCCACTATCCTAGATTGCTCCAAGCCCTGTCCAGCCTGACCTTGAACACTTCCAGGGATGGGGCAGTCACAGCTTCTCTGGGCAACCTGTGCCAGCATCTGACTTGTTCAGTCAGAGCTATCTAAATGAGCAGTTTTTAGTACCCATTTCCCCTAAGAGGCTCATATTTGTACTCCTACCCAAATCTTAAGGCTGTTTTATTGTAATACTGCACCTGGCAGACAAAGAGCCCTCGTACCTCTTTTTTGGACTGCCAGGTCTTCAATCATAAATTCATTTTACTGTGGCTGTAGTTGTTTTGCAGCAGAGAATTATGGTTTAGTGTTTCATTTGCAGAGAAACAGAGTCCCTACTGCCACTGTGGGATCATATCCTGCAGCAGTTCTCCTTTTCCAGGGAGCACTGGTTTACCTGTGCTGCCATGTGGTGTCCATGTCCACCTGTCTTTCCTGCTGGCAGAGCTTTTGCCAGACAGGGGGAACATTCCAGTACAACTTAGGTGCTGTTTTAAACGTGCTTTGTTCTATAAGCCTGGTGGAGTTCAGCCTCCATATCCATAGATACATAAATATGCCCTGTGTGGTCTCCCAAGGGGAAGGCGAAATGTGTTTTTAGTTAAGTTGCATGGGAATTTAATTGAAAGATTTAGGGCAATGCCATAAAAGAGTAAATCACGGCTGCATGACACAAAGAAGATTTATAAAGCCAAATAAAAATACTTTAGCACCTTCACTATTATAATTTGCTTGATATAAGTGGAAACCTGTATTAGTCATTTTGTCTGCTGGTAATTAAAAAAGAAAGTAAAGGCTTTCATATTTTACTGATTTTCAGTCCTTTGGAGTGAAATAACTTGGAAGACAGTAGCAAAGGGCAGAGCATTCTCTGGACATGCCAGAGCTCTAAACCTGCAGAAACGCTCAGCTTCCTTCCCAGGAATATTTGAATTAGTTGAGCACATGCTTAACATGATTTCACACAAGCAGTTACTCGGAAGGACTGTGAACTGATTCAGATGATGCACAAGCTTGGTGTTAGACTGCAGCTTGTGTGATGGTGGCCCTGAAATTTGGCCAGTTTCCAAGGCACTGGGGCTACTTGCTTTGTGCAAGAAGGTCATTTGTCCCACAGCAAAATACTCAGGGATGTTTCGGAGAGGAGAGCTAAGGCAGTGTGTCAGGAATGTGACCTTCAGCGCAGGTTTAGTGAGGATTCACACACTGTATTTATTGAAGAGTACTGTATGTATTAAATGCTGTAGTGTTGATAGGTCTCGATAAGGATACCATAATAGCGGTTGAATTGTAGGGGGGTTTTGTGAGATGGTAAGTTAATGATGTAGCTGTTAATTTGAATTTAGCAGACGTTTTAAATATAGGTTTCTCTTACAGAGACAAAAGTTGCAATTTAAAGCTCTTTGGTGGTCTAAAAACAGCTTAATTCTCTAGTAGCATGGTAATAAGTACTAATCCAGCTTATACAGTGATTGTAGTATGTCATGTTTGTGAAAGATTGCCTAACTCTGCTTTCTCTGGGTTTTATGTTAATTTTTTTAAATTAAACATAAAACCTTATAACATCTTTATGCTGAGATAAACTGTTCAATTTAACTTGTGCTCAAGCAGCAGCTGTCAGGAATTATCATGTTTCGAGCGTTCTTGCCATCACCTTGTGTCTCTACCTCCCGGATACACTCCGTGGGATGATAAAGCTCACCTTGTTAGGATTTATTACTTAAATAATAACCCGAGGTAAAACGAAAGTTGATGTCACGCGGAATGACAACTGACATATATTTATGTCTCACGTTCCATTATAATAAACTTTCCTTTCTTCCCCTTGTAATAGGTGTTAAATGGAAATACACTCCAGCGTATCCTCCAGTGCCCTGCGTGAGTCCATTAGCCGCGTACGCGGCTGCTCTGTGGGCATGTTCGGGGGGACTCGTGCTGTCAGGTGTTATTTAAGCTTATAAACCCAGGGAAATTGGTTAGTGCTGGTAGTTAACAGCTTTTATGCCAGTAAAGAGGCGAGTGTAAGAGCGTCTCATAGTTGGGATAAATTCTGGAAGTGCTGTGAAGTAACGCAAGCGAATCAAGGAGGGCGTTTTCTAATAAATGGGTTTATTTTTTATTTTTCTTTCTTGCTGTAAGAAACGTAAGCAGTGTCATTTCAGGCTCTAAATCTGAATCTGCTTGTCATTGCAACAGTTTTCTCTTGACACCAGTTTATTGTGCTGAGCTGGGCAGCGATAAGTGATCTGCTTGTTAGTTGAGTCTTATCACTTTCTATTTACAGTGAAGAAAATTTAGGTCTACTTCTTGCAAGCTTTCCAAGTTTTCAGTCCTTCTTGCCATTGCCAGCCTCCAGCACACTCTAATGATGCTATTGAATTCCTCCAGTTTGCCTAAGCCAGTACTACAAACACTATTTTCCTTTCCTGTGGCTATAACCATCTTTTTTTCATATTCTTCTCCTAATTATCCCATTGTCGATCTGAGCAAGTTCAGATGTTTCAGAGCTACATGGTTTTGTTAAAGCTTCAATTGGATCTCTTTTCTCATTGTCTCCCCATTGCCCTTTTCTCTCCAGTCAGCATGTCAGCCTTGGCACCTTCACTGTTTCCACTTCCATCCTTGCTCTGTGCTGCTTCCCATGTTTTCAGTCCCAGTGTGCCATCCCTTTTTTCCACTCCCTTCCTTCAAGCTGAGCCAAGACCATCGTTGCTATCCTGCATCAGTTTTCTTCTGAACTCGTCTCAAAAAAGGATTGGAAGGGACCTGAAAGCTCCTCTCGTTCCACCCACTGCCATGGGCAGGGACACCTTTCACTATTCCAGGTTCTCCAAGCCCTGTCCAACCTGGCCTTGGGCACTTCCAGGGATGGGGCAGCCACAGCTTCTCTGGGCAACCTGTGACAGGACCTCACCAGCCAAGAATTCTTTCCTATGTCTACTGTAAACCCACCCTTTTTCAGTGGGAAACCATTTTCTCTTGTCCCACCAAAAGCCTGTTTTTTTCCAAGCAGCCATTCCATCTCCTTTTTGTAATTTTTGGGGTATGTTTTCTCCAGTTTGCATTTTTCTTTGTCACTCCAGTGCTAAACTCACAGCAGTGTTTGAGCAGGGATATTGCTTTGCCCCCAGGAAGCTTTCCTGTCTCTGCTTTTGAGCCTGGCACCCAGGTCATTACAAGGTCCACAGGTCATTACTCATGGTGACAAATAAGTAATGACTTACGTAAAACTATTTTTTCCTCCTAGTATGGCTTGTAATCAACCTGAGCTCATATCTTAATTGTCATTCTGTTTGACAGGCCCTCTAGAACCATCAAATATTTGATGAACAAGGCAATAACATTCATCTCTTACTTTCGTAAGCCTTTCAGATCAGCATTGACTCAGGTTGATGAAGATGGATACAGGATCTGTTCTCTAGGAACTGCTTGTTCTGCAGATACAGATTATCTAAGAAGGGTGTAAGTTAGTGTAGGATATGATATGATGTGATATATATGATATGGTATGATATGTATGAGTGGGGAAGTTCATGAGTTTTGAGGTTGACAGCTAGAATCAGAAGTTTATGATATTAGTGATGTGGGTTTGGCAGTAACCTTGAACAAAAAATTCGTGTAAAAAGAGGAAGAATGTGAAAAAAATGGGGAAAAAGATAGAAAAAGCAGGAAATATTTTAAAATAATAAAACATTACATAAATCAGTTCCGAATCTGAACCACTAAAATGGCGCATAGCAAAAAAAAACCAATTCAGAAATAGACTGTGTTGGAAAGTAGTTTATTAAAGCTTAATGTTCTCTGTGCAATAAATATCAGATCTCAATTTTTTTTTTAACCCCTCATGATAAGAAACACAGAACACAAATGTCTGAGGCTCTGCAGCTCTCTGACGGTTCAAGATTCAGTTTGCTTGGAAGCAGCGAGAGCCAGGGGCCAGGAGATGCTCCCAAACTTCTGGTGAAACGCAGGGAAATCTACCACTGGTTACAGTAGGGTCACGATTTCGTGTTACACATTTAAATACATTCGTTTTCTGATGGCCTGGGAAGTTATACAGGGCTAAGATAGCAGCTTGTTAGTGCTGTTTGTGCCTGCTTTATCTAATTGAAGGATGCATGCAGTGGTGTGCGCTGTGGAATAGCAGGAGTGCTGCGGCAGGACTGGGGCGCAAGGGTAGGAACAACATTTCATTACAGAGGATACCTAATAAAAATGTGAAAGTAAAACAGAAAAAGGGTGGGTGGGGAGGGGAAGAAAAGCAGACCATGCTAGATAAATGCACTGCATAAATCAAAAGGGTTTATGTCATAACATGAACATGTGCCATTCCTGCTCATATATTGAATTTCAGTAGTCGGTTGCATAAAGAAGTAAAGTGTAATGAAACTGGCAAGCAAAGTATTCCCTAGTCAGCCTTATCTTTGTTCCATTTGTCCTTCAGATACAGCTTTTCTTGCCTTTTTCAATAAAATCCATCCAGCTTTTTTTTTTTTTTTTTTATTTTGCATCTCTCTGTAACCGAGCTGGGAAGACCAATGAGATTCGGTGCTTTTCTAGTTGGGTTCTTAGCAGCTGCTTTTTAAGAGATCAAAACTTCGAATGCTGCTACATGGTATTAAGGCTTAGCTATTGATGTGTCCCTATAGGGGTTATGTTTTTCTTGGGGGGGGCGGGGAGTGGAGGGAAGGGGAAGGGGTGACCCCTGCGAGCACACTCACTGACAGGAAACACTGCTCTCCTTGTTTTCCAGGATCCTCTTTGCAAGCTCAGTGCTTAACCTGGCTGAACTCGCTGCCCTCCGCCCTGACCTTGGCAAATTGAAAAAGGTCCTCTACTTCCATGAGAACCAATTGGCGTATCCTGTCCAGAAATGCCAGGAAAGGGATTTTCAGTATGGATACAACCAGGTTCTTTCATGGTAGGTGTTGCTTTGTGCTGCTTCGTGTTACTTAAGGTGTCCTCCTGTCCACAGCATCATAACCATGGAGGAGTCCTTCTCTGTATAATTTTTTTTAAAATTAATTATTCTGTATTTATATTTTGCAAGAACGTGTAGTGTCAGGACAAGGGAGATTGGCTTCAAACTGAAAGAGAGTAACTATAAATTACATATTAGGAAGAAATTTTTCCCTGTGAGGGTGGTGAGGCACTGGAACAAGTTGCCCAGAAAAGCTGCAGCTGCCCCATCCGTGGAATTGTTCAAGGCCAGGTTGGACAGGGCTTGGAACAACCTGGGATAGTGGAAGGTCTCCCTGCCTTATGTCGCAAGGGGTTGGAACGAGATGAGCTTCAAGGTCCCTTCCAATTCTATGATTCTGTAAACAATGACCCTGTAGCAAACTGAGGTACCAGCAGAGCCCTGAGGAGAGGCTGATAAAGATGCTGTGACAGAAGCAATCTGCTCTAAAAAGTCATCTCAGTTTGTTGTATAAAGTCATCGATGCTGCCATGGTGTGCCCATTGCTGGTGGGGATTTTGACCTGTGCCTTGGCTGCAAGTGATGCTTTGTTTCACGGATGCCTCACAAAGCTGCAGCTACTCAGCTCTTGCTTGGCCATAGCTTTTACTGCATCCAGCTGAAATTACAGAGAGGGTTTTAGGGAAATAAACAGAAATTAAAACGTACTGCGGCACTTTTCTTGTGAAGAGAGGGCAGTAAACATACCAGATAAATCCTTATATTTCTTTCATCTAGTATTCAGAAATTGTGCAGTGCTAAAATACCCAGACGTTTTAAAGGCTGCAGTCCTTTATTGTTGCTAAAAACAAATGTATTTCTCGAATCTGAGTTAATGAAAGAAGTTAATAACAGCACCACTGAAAAGCTTTGTGGTTAGGCACTGCACAGACCTAAGTGAAACAGCAAAACTCACTTGTTTTAAACTGAAATAAATTCATTTCCATGATCTGTCTCACCTCTCTGTTGGGAGGAGAATTATTAAGAATAGGGGTTGAGCATTTAAAGTTAAAGTTAAGCTTTTGCATCTTTATAATCTAAGCCAGTTGATGTTGAAATTTCTCAAATAATGGTCTGTGTATGCTCTGGCCATTCTGCAAGCTGCTTCTGCCACAGCATTTGCAACATGTTTCACTTACTGAGCTGCAAAGTAAGAAAGTGGAGTGAAAGATCTTTTGAAAACAGTAGCAGCCATTTTCAGATGTTCTAACGAACAGAAGTGTTTTTCGGCACCAGGCAAAGAATATTTTTTTGTATATATATTTTGGTTTATTATGACAGTAATTTTTCGTGCATCTGTTGTAAACTGACAAACGTTTATCCTCAAAATACGCAGTTTTAAGTATCTTCTCTTATTAGAAAAAAAAAAAAAGAAGATGATTTTTACAGCTCATAGAGTCATGGAATGGTTGGGGTTGGAAGGAACCCTCAGGCTCATCTCATTCCAAGCCCCCATCATGGGCAGGGACACCTTCCACTAAACTAGGTTGCTCCAAGCCCTGTCCAGCATGGACTTGAACACTTCCAGGGATGGGGCAATAGATTCTCCATTGCATCTCCTGCAGCCTCCAATAGCTTCTCCATAAAATTATATATGATTCACTTCTCATTTCCATTGCTGCAAAAACCCCAATTTAAGAGAAGATAGAATCCATCTCCTCTCTGCTGTGCCTTACTCCACATCTGCAAAGAAATGCCATCTTCCCATCTTCCATATCTGGTAGAAAGGGAAAATGTATCTTTCTGATATTGTGCAGAGGTTTCAGAGACAATTAAAATTACAGGACTTTGAATCTTCAGGTTGGTGATCCTTAAGATCACTGGGCTTTGGATCATTAAGAAGGAGGATTCTTTTTTTTTGTCCCTGATGTTTTTAGAGAGTTAATCTGTCTAATTTGCCACTGATTTGCAGAGCCTGCAGGAAAAAGTTAGGGTAGATAAGATTTCATGCACAAGAGGAGCTGAGATGATGGTGCTGGAGCCTTTGCTACCTGTCAGAGAGCAGCAAAGAAACGTGCCGGGCTCCTGCACTGCCTCGTGTCATCTGTAAATCAGTGCAGAAAAGGTGACTTTTGTGCCAAACTGAGGCACTAACGGTTTAAAAACCATAGGTGGGGAAGAGGATGGGATGCCAGAAAGCATTTCAGCTCCCACAGCCTCCTTGAAAAGGATTATTTCTCTCTCTAATATTGGGGTTTTTTTTGCTTTTCCTGCTGACTCCTGGTGAGCAGTGTCAGTTCTCGTTCTTGACCAGACAGCAGAGAGATGCAGTTAGGATGAATGACAGCCTCTCACCTCAAATATACTTTTCACCAGCCTGCTGACTTATGAACAGATGTCCTTCATGTATCTTATGACCCATAGGTCTGTATTACAATATATAACATACTGAGAAAACCAACTGGCCATAAAGCATTTCTTACCTCTGTTAGTGTTGCCTCTATGTTGGTGTAGCTCAGATTGTGGCAGCACTGCCAGGATAAACTTCCAGCTATTTCAGGTTTTTGATAGCTTCTTGTTTTCTTTAGACTGATTCTAAGTGGAGAAGTAAGCCCTATGTTGTCATTAAACTGCATCTTATAATGGTTGGTCTGGTTGATTTTAAAGCAAAGCAGTAAAAACAAAACATTACATTAATATGTCAAATTGAGTATATTAATGTAAAGTTTTTTAAAACTTTTTTTTGGTACTGTATGCTGTATATTTTTTATTTTTACATATATTTATATAATGAATATACTTTTAATCAGGATTATATCCACAGAAGTTAAAATAACACTCCATTTCTCTAGTATCCTGCTACCTGACACACATGGGCTGTTGCAGGTAGTTTAACCAAACATAAGTTGTCCTTCAGCACACAGGAATATCTCTAAGGAATTTTCATTTTCTTCCAAGTTTAAAAAAAAAGTCTACAAAAATCAGGTTACAATGGGTCCTACCTGTGTGTAATGCTTTTAAGAGATATGACAGTAATACTATGCTTCCCATTTTATGACTAAAAATCCACAGCAAGAATAGGGTGTTCTCCTTTACATTAAAAATAGTAATTTATTTATTAGTTTAAAAAGGTTAAACATTTTTCAAAGGCTGAATAAACAGAAATCAAGATATTTCTGATTAAGGTACGTGTGCTACCCCTAATTCACATGCAAAGGCTGATTTTGATTAGTATTCACTTGCACCTTTTGCTTGTTTATAGGAAAATATATTGTATTTTCACTGCATGTAAAATAATTCCTTTCCTTCTGTGGCAGCAGTATGTTCATTAATCTTCACCACTTTTTACAGTTTGGTTGCTGATGCTGTGGTGTTCAACTCTGCTTTTAATATGGAATCATTTCTTACATCCATTGGAAAATTTATGAAGCTGATTCCTGACCACAGACCTAAGGATTTGGAAAAAATAATCAGACCGAAGTGCCAAGTTCTTTATTTTCCAGTCAGGTTTCCTGATGTGAGCAGGTCAGTACATTTTCCACGTCATAAATTGCCTCTAGCCTGTCAAAACTCTGTATTTATGGCGACGTTCTGACTAATCAGCTAAAGCATCGTTAATGAAAGAGTTTGATAATATGCAAACCCCCCTAATTGATAAATGTATTTCAATAATCAGGGGCTATCCAGGCAGCCAAGCCTGTCCTCAGTGCCTGTCGTGCAGACTTGCATCGTTCAGGATGAGTGATTTCCCACTTGTTTTAGTGATTTCCCACTTGTTTTAGTCTTCGAGGGGTTCCTGCTCCTCGGCTCTGTATACATTTTGTGCAGGGGAGGTCAAGGAGGAGAGGGAAATGCTGGAGAACAGTAAAAATGATAAGCCTGCAGCCAAGGAGTGATATTTCCCTCGGTGTTGTCGTGGTGGGATTTTATTCCCTCCTCCCTCCCCTACCTCTTTTATGGCTTTCCAGGTAGGCAGAAAGCATTCCTGTGGCAGGGAGCAGACTTGCAGATGTTGGCATTAGCTGCAGCCGGAGTTGCTCTTCACTCCTCCTCGGTTACTCTGAAGGACGTTTTTTATTACCCTCGTTTCAGAGCCCGTCTTGAAATTAGCGGTGGGTTATGTGGCTCAAAGGGAACATTCTCTGGATCCTTTTCACTTTTGATTAAACCTGGCACAATTGTTTTTCCTCTTATAAGGGACTCTCCTCCCACCGAACAGGAACTTTGCTTCAATGGGACCGGCACTAAATAGAGTATGATTTTGCAATTTGATTATACTCTTACAACCAACACCAAGCTAGGTACATTTTTTTTACTGAAATAACGATGAAAAGCACTGAAATGACTTTGCAAGAGCCTGGCTTTTGATCTGATAGTAAGTTCTGGCCACACTTGAGATCTTTGTCCCTGACCAGCCTGTACTTACAGTTATTTCAAAGGCTAAATATACATCTGTGGTAGTTTGAGGTAGAGAAATTTTTAGTGCAGGAGCTGAGGTCATGCACTCGCTGGGGTTCAACACTGCAAGGTTTGAGTTTCAGCGTCTTGGAAAACTTTGTATTCTGAAATACCGATGCAAATCATTTAGAAATCAACGTCTAAAGTTAAATCTTTAAACCTCTACTTCTGAGAAGTGGGTTAAAATCCTCCAGTGTTCCTCTGGGACTTGTCTGGCAGCGAAGGGCAGTACCTGTGTATCTTTGAGGGTCGGCTATTCCTTCTCGGAGACCAGACTTTTCAGGCGCGAGGGAAAGCTGTGGGTGCTCAGCATATTTGATATCGAGCCAATTTCAGAGGGTCTCGTGGTTTTGGCATACCTTACCGAAGTCATGTGGCCCAAGCCTGGTTTTGGAGATGAAGTTATGATAACCCTGTCTCATATATTAAATCAGCTCTTTCGGACTTGTCAGCCCTGGCAGATGGGGTCAGACGAGATCTGACAAATTAGGCTGAAGTCATACACACAGCGATCGTTTGTCCAAAGCGGGAGGTGATTAGGTGGGTAAAATCATTAGCCTGCTACCCAAACTGCTACAGTGGGAAGATCTCACATCTTCCTGTGTGCTTTTCTGGTGTCCTGCTCTCGGATTAAATCCCGTCTCACAAAGCAGGACAACTTTCCTGCTTTTATTGTGGTCACTGGACTTACATCAAAAACCTCGTTTCAGCAGGATGGACAAAATTAAGGTGTTCATAAACAACTGCGTGACTGTAAAACTTTCACAGCAGAGTAATTAGAAACACAGATTAATTGCAGCCCTATTATTTCTAATATATATATTTTATTCAACAGCTAATTCTAGATGTAAGATCTGAGGTGTTTAGACAAAGCCTAATATCATCCTAGGGAAAAAAAAAAGGAGAAGAAAGGGTTGTTTCTGCTTAACTCTGAAGTTCTTTAGGTTTTGACCTTCAGCTGCAGCCACTATTTACTATTTCTTTACATGTTTTATATAAAGTTGAATGCACCTGTGGCAATTCAATGCTGTTTTTTTAATTTAGATTGTATTAGTATAGTGACTGAATGGAGATGGAGGAGAAAAAGGTTAAGAAAAATTGTGGCCAAGCTAAAATTTATAAAGCAAGCTCTTAGCCCAGAGTGTTTTTCAAGTTATTTTCAAATGGTAATTTGCTTTATCCAAACCAAACTCATACAGTGTAAGTAAGTGATTATTTGCATGACTGACAATCATTTCAGTGCCTGCAGTCTTTTTAAAATGCATAATTTTGCTGAGATGTTGGGAAAATATTTAAAAATTCTGAAGGCAAAATAACCAGGGTGGAGGGTTTTTTTTATTTTTTTATTTTGACCTCTTTTATTTTGCGTGTGAATGTCTCAGGGTATGTTTGTGTCTGAAACATAATCTACATTTGGATTTGGGAGGGAGAGGTGATCTAAGCAATCACCCTCACGCATGCGATGGTGAGCTTTTTTAGATTATTTTAGATTAATATTGCAGTTGTAGGGCAAAATAAAATATATCTGACCCTTGATCAAAGCCAGTGTAATAAAGGATCATGTCACAGGAGTTAATCCTGTAAAATATCTACCTTTTAATATAATTACTGTAGGTGATGGGCACACAAACAGCACAAGCAGCATAGTCAATGATCACTGAAGAGGGGAGGTATAATGATGGATACCATAGGAAACACTTGTGAATACCCTTAGAAGTAACACTAGACATGTGTAATGTGTATTTAAATATTTCAAGTGGACATCTAACCACTGCTTTTCTATTTCTGAGAGGAAGTTATTGATGTTTTTTTATAAAGAATCTTCTTTTCGATAAATACTTGTCATAAGAGCATGTGCTGGGGTTTCCCAGAGCAAACCACCAGACTGTGGTCCTTATCTGACAATGAGAAGAGATGAAAGGATTTCAGGATTTACCAGAATAAGATATTTACTGACTTAATCCTCCTGTTTTCTGGTTCTGACAACAACCAGCTTCCATAATGCATCCTGTGGTGCCACAATTACTCTGTATATACTCACCCCATATAATTTCTGATTCAAACTCTGCTCTTTGTGCCTTCTGGTGAAGTATATTATGTAGAAATACATCTCAAGGTATTTCTAAGCTCAGAGACAAAAGACCCCTCCAAGTTAAGGCTGTCCCTCCACAATGCATTGGTATTGCAAGGGATGGAGACCAGTGGCTGATCTTCTGTGCCATATGTGCTGTGTATCAGACTGGGGGTTTATAGCCCAGTGAGTTAAATACATCATATTTCACACTTATGTTGACATTGGCTTAATTTTAGTATATTTTCAATTGTAACATAAATAAAATCCTATTATTTTTATTATACAATCAATAAAGTCTATTTTGATATAATCTGTTTCCACTTTTGCACTGGAAAATGATGGTCTAGTAAGGCAATTCCCTTTTGACTGATGTTATCCTTGGTACTCACTTCTCCATGTGCTAGAAGAGGCCTCTGGAATACTTCTGCAAGGTCTTTGTTGGTATTTGGATATCCATTATCCTGGTCTAGTGAAAGGTGCCCCTGTCCATGGCAGGGAGTTGGAACTGGATGATCTTAAAGGTCCCTTTCAACCCAAACCATTCTGTGATTTTATATGAATAGTCTCATCCCATCTGTATCCACGTTGTCTGTGGCATTCAGCAAAGTGGGGTCAAATTATGTACTCTTTGGAATTCATTCCAATGAAAATTGTAATTTAGATTTTGGTTATTATTGCTGTTCCTCTGATTGTAGTATATCTTTATTATTAGCATCAAGTTGCGGTAGGAAAGGAAGATGTTTTTATAAGCAAGAATGAGGTAATGTTCCTCAGAGCTCAAAATTCACATTGTACTTAGGTGGAACAATATAAAAGAAACATGAGAGGATGAGAATTACAGCAGAAAATAAAAATAGTGTTTTTTTAAGTGAAACTTGTTGGTGGGTATCTTGTACTATTGGCATTGCACATTTTGAAGTAGAATTAGAGATTTCAGACTTGCTTCTTCATTTGCTTTTTATAACTTAGTAAACTTAACAGGACATTTTAAACAATTTGGATTATATTCTTTCAGTTTATATTCTTTTCTTTATATTCTTTCAGTTATAGTGTGAGAGAGGCAGAATTTTCCAAATTAGAGAGTATTCTAGGGCCAGTCAAGGGAGTTCACGACTAAAGTAGAAGATTTTAAAAGATGCTGACAGTATTTCTTGTACAGAAACGTGACTGTCGCGTGTGGGTGAGTCTGTTTTGAGGAAATAAAAAAAAAAAGAAGAAAAAAAATTGCATCACTTGGACAAGGTTTTCAGGATTGAACTTTGCTGTGCTGGAAAAATGCAGGTGTCAATAAGCAAGGAGAGACTGGAATCCATAAGAGCCCAAAGCTATAGGTGGGCACTGGGGACATGTCTACGTTGCACACAGAGATGCTCACACGAGCTAGAGAACTGTCTTGCATCTGGGAAGCCATACACCTTAGAAGAGCAGTTTTTTTGGCTAATTAGCCCTCCAGTGAAATTGCATACATAAGCTTAGGTGGAGTGCTCTGCTAATGACAGTGATTGTGGTTCTGGGGGTCGCTGCTGCCTTTGGTGGTGGCTCAGGCACCTCCGTGGAGTGCCGTGCCCTCTCTGGTCGGCACAGCCTCCCTGCCACCACGGTTTATGGGTCATTAGCATAATGAGATAATGCCAATAGACTGCTCCTACCTTGGGGCTTGCTGCTGAAGAACTGAGTGATGGAAATTACTCCCCTGAATGTCTTTCCTCCTCACCTGCCGCAAGCGGGATCTGAGGGTCGGTGTTGGCACGCTAAGAGTTGCCCAGCAAGAGTGAGGGATGCTCTGAGGATCTGGGACACTGCACCTACTGGGAGGAAAGTGCAGTGTGGGGGCATAAAATGGAGTCTTTCCATTCTGGAGCCTTTGGCAGCAGGTTGGTTGCCTCCTGCACCTCTGGGGTAGGTGCTGCCTGCAGGAAGCTGCACCTGCAGCGAGGCTTTAGGCAGTCGAATGAAGGATGCCTCAAACATCTGTATTCAGAGGTGCTTTCTT